TTCTTCAAATATGGCAATAATTCTTCAAATATGGCAATAATTCTTCATATATGGCAATAATTCTTCAAATATGGCATGCATGCTTCATATATGTCAAGAACGCAGCACTTCAGGATGAAAATCAAGTGCTTTTTCTTTTAATTTGTAATTTCTGCATCAATGCAACAGTTCTACAAGTCAGTTGTACTTTTTTATGTTTTACTAAATATAGGTGCTTCTTTAAGTGTTTGAAATTATTTTATTGTAGCAGTACTTTTTTTATAATCTCGATTAAAAAAATAAAGAAGCAAAAGTTTTTGTATGACAGACTGAAGTTACCAGGGGTAATAAAGGGTTTTAAGTCTTGACACTTCAACAGGTTGGGGGGGTTTGGGATAAAACTCAAACATGGCTTTTATTACTCAATCGTATCACAAAGTGATCCGGTCCGTTGTGGTGACGAGGGAGCTGAGCTGTAAGGCAAAGCTCTGTTTACCGGTTGGTCTACGTTCCTACCCTCACCTGTGGTCATGAGCTCTGGGTAGTGAATGAGATCGTGAATACAGGTGGTTGAAATGAGTTTCCTCTGCAGGGTAGCTGGAGTCTCCCTTAGAGATGGGGTGAGGATGCTCCCTGGGCACCTCCTTTGGGAGTTTTTTTGGACACGATAGACCACCCTGATATGCAGAGAAGGCAGTTGATGGAAAAGGCAAACACAAGTTTTTATTTGAAAAACCAAGTTTAATTTATTTTTCTCGTTTTGTTTGAAAATGATGAGTCAGGTCCTCTGGAGGGACTCTTCCTTGTTGAAACATTTCCATTCATCCATCCATCCATCCATCCATCCGTCAGATGTCGGAGGCATCAGCTTGAACAAGGAGGTCCAGACATCTCTTTCTACAACCACCTCTTCCAGCTCTTCTGGGAGGACACCAAGGTGTTCCCAACCAACCGAGAGACGTAGTCTCTCCAGTGTGTCCTAGGTCTTCCTAAGATCCTCCTCCCAGTCGGACATGCCCGAAGAACCTTGGGGAGCATCCTTGCCAGATGACCGAACCACCTCAACTGGCTCCTGTCCGTCTTTACTTTTCCTTGACTGCATGAGTCACTGGTGGAGTTCTGGGGTTGGTGCACTCTGAACAGGTCCATCACACCCATTCACACTTTCACCAAACGACAACTCATGAGTCTAACTGTGTTTTAGGTCTATAGAAGGAAACCTGGAGTTTCAGGTGAAAACACATATACCGTATTCTTCGGATTATACGGTGCATGAAGTGAAACAAAACAAGTCAAACTTTATTCAGCTCATTCATAATAACCACATAAAACCAGTTTGAGGTCAGTAAGCACAGCCAGAATTAATACATGAGGCTCACTGTCGATTTTTGAGAAAATTAAAGGATTTGAGCGCAACATATAGTCCGAAAAATACGGTACGTGGAGATCAGGCTGGGAGGTGAACCTGCAACTTTCTCACTGAGCGGCAACAGTTCTAACCACTGTGCCACAACACTTTGTGACATTATTGATTTTTGATATGTTTGCACCAGCAAATAAAGAATTAAAAAGGCTCTCAAGCTGCTTATTATTATTAATTTATTTTAATTTTTACTTAGCTTTAGCTGTACTTTTGGTGCACTGAAAGATTGTATGAGGTAATACTAATGCAAAATTATATATTAGGTATATAAAACATACTTTGGGATATTAATATAAATGAAAAAACAGTTGTGGTTAGAAACATGGTTCACTTTTTGATTATTTCTGTATTTTAATGACAGAAAAAACAGATCTACGTAACTATCTGAATTTACTTTATTAATATTTCTCTTATTTTTGTTTAAATATGTGTGTTACAGTATCATTAATCTTACAGCACTTTAGAAATGGTTTATTTTACTGTACTTTCATTTCAATATTTAGAAAGGTAAAAGCGTTTAATGTTTGTGATTGTTGGTATTTCCATGCCAGAGCAGTTCAGTCAAAAAAAAAGTATGTATATTAATTAATTTGACTATTTGTTAATTGATTAACATGAAAAAACTAATTATGTTAAATATTTTAATTGTACATCTAGTTGCAAAATATTTAAAATAAAACTAAAATATAAAAAATATGTACATTGGTTTTCATGTTACTCTGGACTATAAATTTGCTATGAAAAGGTCTGATTGCTTTTGAGAGGATTTGATTTCAAATTAAAGAGTGAAAGTTAAATAAAGGTTTTGACTTGTGTTTTATTTTTGCAAAGTATTTTGAGAAATGTATCGAAATGCAATGAGTTTTGAAAATAAATATGTTTTTTTAGTCTTCATAAAATATTCAAAATATACGTAAATATCAACTTGCAATACGTCACAATAAATTACCAAAATATAAAAAGAGAGAAAATTAAAAACCCATTACAGTTTTAAACACTCTTTATTTTATTTTTCTAATTTTTGTTCGATCCAACAATCTGATTGGAGCTCAGCGTCACGTGATCTCATACATCAAACCGGAAGTAGGGCTTGAAAAGTAAATAAAGCAAAAAAAGATGGCGTCTCGCGGCTTGTTGTGCAGAGGTGTCGGTGTGTTTCAGCTCAGTAGAAAGGTACCGCTGCTGTCCGCTTCTCGGTGTTGCTCTCAGACCGAACCGGAACCGCTGACAGTGAAACTACAAAACAACGGAATCAGGTGCTGGCATTAAAACAGTTCTGCTTTCCTCTCACCGGAACTCCTGTATAGAAACACCGTGTTTAAGGGAAAAGTTAAAACTTCACAAAGTCTTCTTGCTCCAGTGGTACACCAAGTATTTTGCTGCATATGTGGTGCTCCTAAAGCCCATTCGGCATCAATATTATTGTTGTAAAAAATGGTACCGATACTGAATTTAAAGGTGGATCTCATAAAATTAGAATATCATTAGTTAAAAGTTGATGTGTGTTTGTCATTGTGAGAAGCAATAGTTGCAAAATGTGCAAAACAAATGGGAACTCCTTATAGGCTACTATATTCATTAATTAATAATAAAAAAAAAAAAAACCGTCCTGTTTTGTATCAGACATAAAAAAAAAAACATTCAAAACTATGCTGCTACAATTTTTCATTTTACTCTTTACATATCTACAGGATTTACTTTATTTGATTTTCATCCCCACCAAGAGAAATTAATTTACAAAATCTTACTAATAAAATCATGAAACAATAAAATGTGTAAAGTTAAAAACCATACATGTAAAATTAGTGCAACTTAGATGTTAATTACAAAAAATGTATGAGTACATTTTACTTCAAATTCTTCCTAAATTGTTTAAATCTGGGTGTTTCATTATTATAGTTTTACTTTGATTAATTCACACTTTTAAAAATTTTATATTTCATGTTTTGTTTGAAGACATCACCGTAGGGAATTTTGAGTCTTGTCTTTTCACGTTGGATTGTATACCTGGATTATTGAGCATGGACTTTGTTGTCTTTTCACGTTATTGTGTCAATATCCAGCTTGAGTTGAAGCTGTTTTTTTTTTGTGTGTGTGTGTGTGGGGCGCTCATTTACTACATTTACTACATGTACATTATGTACCTTAGCTCAAGGTGTCATATATTCACATGCTTTAAAACCAAGCTTCATTCTTCATTTTTTCCTAGGAGGATAATTTTGAATAATCCCAAGAAAAGGAACGCTCTGTCTCTGTCCATGCTGGATTCTCTCAGAGAGAACATCCTGACTGATGCTGACAGCGAAGACCTCAGAGTTATTATCATATCTGGTCAGTTATAATCTGTGCATGCGTGTGAAAGGACAACTGTGATCCATCTCTGCATTGTGTGTGTTTTCCAGCCAAAGGGCCAGTGTTTTCTTCTGGACACGACTTGAGGGAGCTGACATCAGCTCAGGGACGAGAGTATCACACCAAGGTGTTTGACACCTGCACAGAGGTAAAGTTGTCTCCAAGTTTGTTCTGGCTTCATTTTCTTACATCTAAGTTTGAGGTTTTCACTTGAGATAAAGCCAAACAGCTACGTGTGTGACATAAAACAGATGTTCCTGTTTGTGGAGCTAGAATCATAAAAACTGTTCACACACGACTGGCACACAGTCAGACATTTATTGCCTAAAGAAACTATAAAAGCACAGAGCTGCCGTTTTCTGTGACGTCTGCAGCAGCTTGAGCAGCTAATGAAAGGAGTTTGCTTAATGAAGATCTGGCTCTTGTATTTCAGGTGATGACTCTCATACAAGACATACCGGTTCCGGTGATAGCCATGGTAAATGGTGTTGCCACGGCTGCCGGTTGCCAGCTCATTGCCAGCTGTGACATCGTCGTGGCGACAGAGAAGTCCACCTTCGGCACTCCGGGGATTAACGTGGGTCTGTTCTGTTCGACACCGGCAGTGGCTATCGGCAGAGCAGTGCCGAGAAAGGTATTGGTGTTTTAAAGTATTTTTTTAATTATGATGCTAGTAAACTTTGGCATCAAGTGTGACTTAATATATCCCCCACCTTCCTTTTTCTAATAAGGTTGCCATGGAGATGCTGCTGACAGGAACCCCTATCTCAGCTCAGGATGCTCTGCTGCACGGTCTGATCAGTAAGGTGGTGCCAGAGCAACGGTTGGAGGAGGAGACGTTAGCCATTGCTCAGAGAGTGTGTCGAACCAGTCGACCTGTTGTAGCTCTCGGTAAAGCCACTTTCCAAAGGTAAGTTTGTTTTTCCTTTATTTTTCTTGTCCCAGCTACTGAGATATAATTTGACTGTTTCAGTGAATTCCTAAAACACAGTTTATTGATGTGACTTGTTCTTTAAGCGTTTGAAACAAAAGTACTCTGACATTTTATTTCCTGTGTTCTGCCCCTCTGTTTTTTTTTTTTTTTTGCTCTGTAGACAAATGTCTCAAGGCAGAGATGCAGCGTATGCCACCGCCTCCAAGGTGATGGTGGATAACCTGGCTCTGAGGGATGGGCAGGAGGGGATCCGGGCCTTCATAGAAAAACGCAAACCAGTGTGGAGCCATAAAGCTGAAAAAGCCCATGATTGACCAGCACTTGGAGAGACCCTGATTTAATGATCACCTTCATTGGTACACGTAGTTTTCACTAATTGAACTCAATCTTTTGTTAACAGGTTGACTTTGCTGCTATTTAAATAAACAACATCATTATATAGACATAAGTTGATAAGATGTCATTTTAACGGAGCGTTGCCTCTGTTTTACCAAGAATAAAAAAGAAACTGAACCGCTGTGCATTTATGAACTGCAGTATGGATATGTTAAAAAAAAACAAAAAAAACTGATGTGATGTAATATAATAGATGTAAGCTAAATAATGCTCTGTATTTTTGTTAAATATATTTAAAAAAAAAAGGAAACAAACTGTGGATGCATATTAAGATGCATATCAGCTGTATTTACCAATTATGAAGTGAACTGTAAATGGTAAGCAGGAGCTAAAGTTTAAGATAAATGTAAATGCAAGCTAAGAACAAATGAGCCATGCACGTTTCATGCTGTAACGCACATCACGTGCTGCCCTCGGACCATTCGGATGTTGAACTAGTCTCTTCAGCAATTTTCTTGCAACAGTTTATGTGAGTGTGGAAAGCTTGTGAGTCACACAGAAAGGCCCGTTGAGTTTTATATTAGAAGCCTTTTTTGTTTAGTGTCAACGTGCCACCACAGCCTTACGGTTTTTATACTGATATTTTTACTGCTTTAGTGCTTTTTGGAAACAATAATTGTTTGGATGACACCAAGTAATCCCATCCATCCATTATCTTTTACCCGCTTCTTCCATTTTGGGTCACGGGGCGTCACCAGTGCCCATGTCCAGCAATCACTGTGTGAGCGGCGGGGGACACCCTGGACAGGTCGCAAGTCCATCACAGGGACACACAGACAAACATTCACCAAGAATTCCCAATATTGGCAAATGAATTGAGTTATGATGTGAATCAAAATGAGAACAGTATGAGAAC